GCCAGGAGGAGGCGGCGGCGGCGGCGGCTCCGGAGCGCGGCCTTACCGGGGCAGGGCCTGGCCAGCTGGGAGGTCCCGGCGGGGTGTGTCTGCCGCAGGTCGTTCCCGTTGTTAGTGCCCAAGTGACATCCCGCGCTGTGCCGGGCATCCCGGCGGAGGCTCGGGCACGGCGGCGTTACAGGGCAGGAACCCGGTTAGGTTTGCCACAGAGGCAGGGCCGCTCGCAGCGGGCTGTCCGGGGGCCGCCAGCCCCGTGTAGCCGTCAGCGCGGGGCAGGCCCTGGCTCGATCTCACCCTCGGGTGGTGGCAGCCCTCCCAGTCAAGGGAGCCAGCTTGTGGAGTTCCACAAAGCCGTTTGGCTAACTTAGCCTTAAGGCTTTGAATTAATTAAATATAATGCAGAATAATGTTTTCGCAAAGCAGGCATCATGTATGCTGAGCCTTTGCTCTTGACAACTCGTTCAGCTGGTTCAGAAAGTGTACTTGGGTGCACTTTCAGAAAGGTCCTGTGGGTGTATGTAGTCATCAGCTGCAGATTTTGTTCTTAATCTGAAAAATGTGAGAAACTGTATCAGAGGGACACAACTGTTGTCTTAAGTCTTAAGCGTAATATTCATATGAGTGTACCCTGTGATAACTTCAAGTGCCAGCATGTGTTTTTCAAAACCACTGATGTGAAAATTTCTGTTGGCACATGGAGAGTCAGGGGAAGCTGTACAAAGATGCATGAATTAGACACAAAAGTCTCGTAACAACAGCAACAAAAGCAGTGGAACAGTAGCAAGGGAATGTGTGACTAAAGGGATATTTTGGATGAGTAAACACCAGAATAGTGTGTCTCCATGTAAGTGCTAAACACTGCTTTTCAGCCTTGGAGCAGAAATGCACCCCTCTGCAGCTGGATCATGGATGACATGGTGACTAGCTGTGAACCTCTGCAGATCTGGCTGTCTCACACTGATTTCTTAAGTATATCTAAGTATGATTTTTCAAAAAATATGTAGGTAGATGGAGAGGATGTCTGTTTATGATGACTAAAGACAGCCAGCCTGTTCTTGTCTTTTGAATTTCTGTTTTGATACATTTCTGTCTGTATACTTGTTGCTTGGTTTCTTTTTGCATACTGTTTATATTAACCATCTTGCATGGCCACTAGTAAGGTTTGTTACCATTATTAAAACACATTCAAAAAAATTAATGTTGGCTTGTAATCCCAGTTTCCGTCTAAACAAAAAAATAGTTAAGACTAAGAAGACACAGTCACTGTATGGAAGCTTCAAGCACCATCAGCGTATCTATATAACACTGATGCATTTTCACAATATTGCATGAGCCTTCATTCCAGAATGAATAAAAAAGCCCGGGGGGGGAGTGCAACTTTGCCTTTCAGGCTCTCTTCACTGGGAGTTTCTCCATGTCCTTGTGTCCTCGGTACTTCTGTGAGATCTAGTGATAGGTATCGTACACAGTGTTCTCCATCAGGACACACTATTGATTTCTGTGATGGTATTTTAGTCCGGTCTGCATTCTGAACTCTCTGGCAGCCTAGTTGTTCCTGTTTCAAACCACAGTGATACATTCAGTAGACTCTTCATTAAGCTATTCATAGTGCTGAACAAGTCTTTTTCTTGTCTTCATAAAATTAATTTAGAAGTCTGTCAGATGAGAACCAGAGATACCGCCTAAGTCTGGGTGGCAGCTCCCCAGCATCTGTGGGCTGCCTGCACTGTGTCGCCAGAGCCAGTGCCTACCCTAAGGGCTGGCAGCCTTCTTTGGGGGGCACCTGCTCTGACAGGGGACCACGGCTGTGTTGCCCGATATTTATTGCTGTTTCATGGCAGCATTTGCTACCTGGGAGCCCGCTCCACTTTTTTAAAATCTCTCTGAAGTTCCTGAAAGCCCTCCAGACTTGAATCAATTTTATGTCAGGAGCAGCTCTTACACTCTGACTCCTCATGCTTCTTTCTACATGGTAGTTAAGTATACGAAATGCCTTAACTTTAAGCCTTTATGAAAATCATATGATAGGCTGCCCTGTAGTGTGTTGCCTAGCCAGGCGTGATCTTTGACAGGCCTGGCCTCTCTCCCAGGACTGCACATTTTCTTCCGCGGCTTCCGATGCTGATGTAGTTATCCAGGGTATTTCAGAGTTTTTTTTCTTCCAAATCTGTTTCTTCTTCCTAATTAATGCCATCAGCAGAGTTTGTGCACTATGGCTTCTGTATGTGGTATTCAGGTACCATTGTTCACCCAAACTTGAAAACTAGACCTTAATTCTCAGGTAAACTTGATGCATGCAGTTAGTCAGGAACTGCTGTTACACTTTATGAATATTTCTCACCTTACGCAGGCCGTGTTTCAGGCACAAACCAGCCCAGCAGCAGCACTGGGGCAGCCTGGATTTTGGGCTTAATTCCGTAGAGTTTGGCTGTGACTTTGGGAGGCGGTTGCCATCTCCTTCTGTGTAACGCTTCATGTAAATTGTCTCCTGCGGCTTACAAAGCGAAATAATAAAGGTGAGGAAAACGGTATTTTTTCAAAAGGTGTTGGGGTTTTTGATTATTTATTTTTTTTTCTCCAGTTACTGCTGGAAAACAGGCGGGCGGGTACCACAGAGTGTGAGGGAGGTGCCGCAGCGCCTGTCTCTT